GAATATAAATTTTGATCCATAAATTTCTGTTACTATTTTATAAACCATTGATAAATATATTTAATTCTTTGTCTTAACTTGACCTTTAAAATTAAATCATTAGTCAATAGTTTAAAATCTCGTGACCCTAAATTCTTAAATCTTTTAGTTAGTTTTTAATATTTAACTTTAAATTTCTTTTATTCTTCATCTATTATCCTCTTCAATTCATAAACTAAAGTAATTGTTTACAAGTTACTAGTTGTAAATTGCTTTTTGAAAAATAAAATTAGCCCAAAAGGTCAACTAGTAACAACAGACAATTCAATTGTAATTCATTATCGTAAATATGGTCCTCATGAAAAATTTACTGTTACGGCAAAGAAAACAAATTCTATTACAGGTTTTTTTAGGCCCATTAATCATGACGAAGACAAAAATAATAATGGTGATGAGGATAATAACGACAATGAGAATAATAACGAAAATGATGGAAATAACAATAATAATGACAAAGATAAGAATAATAGTGAAGATGATTATAATAATGAAGATAGATATAATGGCGAAAATGAAGATAATGAAGAAGATGAGAATAATAATGAAGATGAGAATAATATAGATGAAAATAATGATAAAGAGAAGAAGAATAATAATGTTTCTTTTATTAGAATAGATAGTGGATATAATGAAAACGATAAAATCAATAAGTATAATGAAATAAGTGAAACAAGTAGACGTAACAAAATAATGGCTAGACATAATGAAATAATAGATAAATATGATGAGATGGATAGTGGAATGGGTAGATATGACGAAATAATTGATAGATATAATAAAACAGATGGTGGAATGGGTAGATATAATAAAATAGATAGTGGAACGAATAAAAATGATGAAATGGATCTTGAAATGGATAAATATGACAAAAATGATGAAATAAATAGTAAAATAGAGGATAACAAAATTGGTAAAATGGGTAGATATGATGAAATAGATAATGAAACGAGTAGGCAAGAAATAGACAAATTTAATTATGGGAGTGGTTATAACGAAACAAATGAATTTAATAATAAAAGTGATTACAGCAAAATAGATGATAAAATTGGTAAAATGGAATATGGAAAAATAGATAGACATAATGAAATAAATAAAAATAAAGATAATATAGATGAAAATAAAAATAATAAAAATAAAAACAATAATAATATATCACAAAATATAAGCAAAAATTCAGATTTTTTTGATTATTTTGATTTAATCGATATTGATAATTTAAATCAAGTTGATGAAATAATTGATGAGACAGTTGATGAAACTGTTGTTGAAATAATTAATGAAACCGTTGATGAAATAATTGATGAGGCAGTTGATGAAACAGGTATAGATAATGAACTGAATATTAATAATAATGATTTTAATTTAAAGCTTCAATAATTAGAACATATTATTGTAAATAATCAAAAAAAATTGACAACATATGATTATTTGAGATATAGGTTTTTATATACTTATTTTAACTATTAATTAAAAGGTGGATTAATAAAAATTAAAGCAAGTGAAAAAATAGTAAAAGAAATTTACAATAAAAGAATATATAGATCTAGGGTAATTCGAAAATTAGGAAATTATTGGATTAGAAATAGTTCATTACTTATTTTGACACATGATTGTCATCAAAAAACAAAATCATTTATTGATGATGAAGATACAGTATGACGATATAAATTTTGTACAAAAATTATACAATACCTATAAAATTCATACAATACAGTACAGCCCTTATATAATAATCTAAATTGTACTGTATGAACTTTTTTATATTAAAAAACCATACAGTACAGGTATTTTTTATATTAAAAAAAAAAACATACAGTACAGGTTTTTTACTAAATATAAATAATTAAATATTAAAAAAAATATAGCGTACATATTTATTTAAATTAAATCTATTAATTATTATATGTTTTTTATTAATCAATTAATTGTTTACTCCTATAATAAAATGTGTAAAATAATAGTTATTAATTCATTATCTGTTTTCGT